ATATAAATTATTGAAATGTAAAAATGGGTTTTTGAATTATTTAAATGGTAGAAATACAAGATCCTGTTCTTGCAAAGATATTTAATTTTTAATTTGCCAAAAATGTGCTCTTGAATTTGGTATAGGGAATGTAAAATAAGCAGTACTAGGATGTTTCAATGAGAAGTGATTTATCAGAAGTGAAAGGGTTAAGGTATATATATATATATTGCTCTTTGTGTAATAAAACATGTATATGAACATTTTCAAATTAGAGTTTGGGGCCTCTTTGCGCGCGCCTGATGATAAACCCGCCACTGGTTAAGAACTCTTACTAGAGTATCTCACATCGTTACCTATTTATTCACTAGATAGCACTAGCTTTAACAATGTTGTAACTACAGTTTCTGAGTTGACCCGTTCCAATTTTTCACTATTTTTAACGCGAAACAGCAGGCCTTAATATACAAGGTGTTCCATAATAATCTTTCCTATTTGGAACGTAAATACAAACCAGAGTTGTTATGGAAAAATGAAATAACTTTTCAGTATTAGAACAAAGTGAGACAACTGGGACCACACCTATATACACGCCACAGGGTGCTCAAAAATTAGCTTTCCTAAAACCTATATACACACCACAGGGTGCTCAAAAATTAGCTTTCCTATTTTGATCGTAAATAACACAACAGACATACAAAAATTCAGTTTGCAGTAGTTAGGCTACAATATGTTGCAAACATTTTGTAAGTCTAGTTTTTGGTAATGAGCCCTTGGAGACTATTTGCTTTAACAGGGCATGTGAATATCAATCAGGTTTCAGCTAGTTATTGTACGTTACACTGAATTTTGGTCCATCGAACCCACATTATTAGAGTCATAAAGCTCACTACTGAGTCATCGAAAGGCCCCAACATAAATTAATGTCACACAAACACTCACATGCCACAACTACATTTCTGCAGTGTTTATGATACGCTACCTTACTGTATACGTACGGTAGGCCTACTGTAAAACCTGCTTTAAATGGGAACTTGGGAAATCGTAATGCAAATGGGTTATTATTTGAAAGCTGCTATACGTATGCACTCGTCTCTTCTCTAATGATTTATGATAGGAAATAGTACCCTTTTATGCAAAATTGGACAAACACATTTCCCTAAAAAAAAAACTGAAATATTTTATCATCAGGTTGGTGGCATTGCTTTGGATTCCCAAGTTTACCTTTAATTTTTTTCTTGTTATCACTAACAGAATGTGACACGACTAATCAAATGAAATTATAAAGGAGGAAAAAAATATTTGTAACAACTTTATGCATCAAATACCACTAATACATTTGAAACGCACACAGTCTCAGGAAAATGTTATTAGTGTATGTTGGGTAAATACGAGCGTCTGTTTTAGGTGCTATGTAGAAAATGGCTGATATAGATGGTACCAAGAGCAGCCAAAATGATTGAAATGTGTGATTTTTTTCTTATGGTGGACGAACTGCACGGTCATTTTGCTATAAATTGCTATTTGTGTGGCAGGAATATTGTAAGAAGCTGCTTTGTCAAGAAATGAAAACCTTAAGAATACTATGAAAAAAAATTTATTCAAAGCAAAACAAATGCAGTAAGTAGCTGTTGCCAAAATTACAGAATTTTAAAACGACTAACTGTACAGGGAAAAGTTTAACGCATAGCATACTAAGGAATAAGAAAATGTATATACATGAACATTAATACAACAAGTCATATAAATTTCTCTAATAATAAAACATATTGCTCCCAAAACATTTCATGAAAAATTAAATACAACAAATGATCAGAAGTAACAGAATCCAATTACTCATACCAACTTTAAATGTGTTTCTCTCTCATTATCCAACTTCATGATCATACAGAATCACATTGATTGTATTAGACAAGATTAACATAGAAATACACATTGTTTATACGGTTTTAAAAATGTTACCCTGGCTCTATTCTTCTCTTGATACATTCACTGCATCAAAATACAAACTAGATGTTAGTCCTACTGCATGCACATTACTTACTTTCCACATTTTAAGTTGTTGCTTGACTTGTGTAATATACGTATCCAAACTGGAACAAACTTGAATGAGCTTACGACTTTTGAAACAGCACATTTTTGGAATACACAAAACACTAAAGTATAGGAAGTGTATTACACAAGTGACATTACAGCAACACTTCTATCTTTATACATCTGTGCTAATAGCTGTATACAACAGAAAAGTATTTCTTCACATGTTTTGCAGGTATTAAAATCATTTTGTACTTCTTTATAATATGGTTTTGTTATATAACTCCCACATTCATCTGTCAAGAATAATTTCACTTTGCTTTCTAAATTAAAATACAATTTATAAAACAGAAACTGGTCATTCCATTTTACAAATCATCAAGGATACAAACTAAAATTTATCCATTTTTTACCTACAATAATCATTCTTTATTAATTTAAGTCGTTAACAGCAAATGTAAGTAAAGAAGTATAGAGAGTATAAATTTCAATCCAGATTCACCATCTACGCACATTCATCAGACATTTTACACAAGTAAGAAAGTTACTTGTAGTTTGAATACTTTCTTTCTTAAAACCCAGATGAATGATTCAATTTAAAATATCCAATCAGCCTTATATTTGGAAAATTCAACAAAATTATACCTAGAATATATATTTTGCTTAAACAGCTAGTTTTTTTCTTCATAAATTTGAACCTACACCTAAATAAACTGCTTATTAAACTTAAAAAAAAAAGATAAGAAAATACAATTCATGTTGTAAAATTTTGCATAAGCTTAGAAAAATTAGTAATCAAAACAATGATTTTTTTTAAACTTTATAGAGAACTACACAAAATCTTAAACTGGTTTAAGTTTGTGTTATTTTGCATGCGGTGTTTTGATTTAAAGCCTGCTCTTCACATAAACTGTTCCACCTTTTTTCATACCAACAGTCCGCATTCATTAACATAAACATTTCAGATGTTAAAGTGTGTTCTTAGCAAACTTTCTATCACTAAGAATTAGGTATAATGTTTTGTAACTGCAAGCTTATGGCTGGAATCATAGAAAAAAATAATAATTCAGTCACAAAAAAAAAGCACCAATAAAAATTACCAAACTATTCCTGATTCAGGAAATTTGCATTACCAAAATTGTGTACTGTTAACTCTCTTATGCGGGGTTTTCAATACTGCAGTTCATATATTTTTCTAAATTTTCCTATTCTTTTAGATTTTTGTGACTCAATAATAACCACATACTACACATACCAAGAGAAAACTGAAATTAATAATAACATCAAATATCATATTAGTAAAAACTCTACACCATTATTAACTTACACCTAATTATTTAATGGAATACAAATAATATTTAGCACCATATGCTTCATCCTCAAATATCATATGGGACTTGATGGTTTATGCTTAACCATATGATAAATTGACAATCAAATAATGTGTGACACAGCAGGAACTACTCAAAAATTTATAACTTAGAACCAGCTCATTTTAAAAATGTATAACTTTACAACTCTTATAACTCTCACAAAATCATCAACACTTCTATTTTAATAATTACCAATAGAATTTTTATCTGCTATTAACTATGTTTTCATCTGTTCCTGTGAATTATATTTAAGCATTTAAAAAAATTGTCTTTTCCAATCCCTCAAACTAAAATATCTAGTCAGACAGATCAACTGCCTCACTGCTGCAATGGGACTTTCTGAGCATGTTTGAAGCTATTTATGTAATAATAAAATCTCAACATATGTTAACAATATAGCTCCAAAGAAACAGTGTTTAGCAAGCATAATGATTCCTCTTTGTTATGGGAAAGCCAAATAAAGTAATTTATTATAAGTGTATCTTTACCCACAATTCCTAGATATGAATAAACACAACTAACTTTAGTACTAATAACTCAAATAAAAAATGACACAACATTAAAATTTCATATTTTCATACAGTAAAATGCATTTTATCTAACAATAGGTACAATAAAATGTTAAATTGTTAGTTTATTAAAAGTTCTGTAGAAAATCTAACTGACTCATAGAAAATGCGTGTTTAGTGTTTGTTATATATCATCCAATAAAATGCTATGATAATATTAGTTGTGTTTTCAATTCTGCTCACTGCTCCAATAGTACACAGTGCAGTATTTATCATTAACTGAAGCAATTGCTTATTTTAGTTATTACTTAGTCTATTAAAAAAACACTAATACCTACAAAATCTACCATTTTATATGTATATATATAAAAACATTTTATCAAATCATAAAAGTCCTTGGAATGCAGACCATTTATATAAAGTGAAAACTACATGAACATATGCAAGGATGTTCTTCTTACCAGTCAAAAACTAGACTTATAGAATTTACCAGTTCTAGCTA